GTGTGTGTGGGCTGTGTAGTGTACCTTGCTCTGTTGCATTGGGGGAGAATCAAAGCTCTCTTGTATTTTAATTTTATTTATCAAACATTCATAGCTACCTTGAACTACGGTTGCAATGGTATGAGATTTTCATAGAATGATAATGAAATAATGAAAATATTGCGTTTCTTATTTATTTATTATATATTATTTATTAGCAGATAAATTACCCTTTAAGAAAAACAACAGCATTTGAATTGTAACCCCGAATTTAAAACATACTCAAGTTTCTTTCAGTATGGTAGATAAACAAATTGTATTGTAACCTTCAATTTCCATACCAGTGTACCGTTACAACCCTACCTGGATTAGAGTGTTATCAAACCCAAGTAGTGTGTGAGCTATTAAAAGGTGCCCTCCTTTTTCTAGGTCATTAGCAAAAAAGAATGGATGGATTCTAGTTATGAATATCCAAAATTCTTGACAGAGAGGGATGAGAATGGAGAGGCATATTTCTAGCCTTAGGGAGGTTAGGAGCGGTTGTGAAGAAGGGGAGGGAAGAGAGAGTGCTTGTAAGGGTGGGTGGGGGGAGGCTGGTGGCATATAAATGGTTGTGGCTGGTGCCGGTATAATCTGGGGAGGAAAAAAGGGAAGACAGAGGCTCGTAGTGTGTTGTCTCAGGAAAGAGGGACACGACAGTTAAGAGAACACAGCGGAGACAGATCTTGTGACGGGGTCACGAGAAATAAATCAGACATCCAGCTGGAGAGTGATCCTCTTGCTCCTTCTGCTAAAGCAGTCTGCAGTCTCTACCAGGACATTAGTGCCTGCCCAATGCAAAGAATATCCTCTCCAATCATTTTTATTTGGCCGACTGCCGTGCTGCACGAGTTTGGGAAAAAAATCGAATTGCGATTTTTATGACAAATTTTGCGATTTGCGATATTTGTTTTTAAGCGACCCAACGGAAGTTTATTGTAAAATGCGGCCATATCTCCGGCTAGGAAGGTTGCATCAACATGCTACCGTCTCTAGCACCCCCACAGCCCGAGGTACGAGTGAAATAACTAAACTTACATGAGACTTCCGTTGGGTTGCTTTAAAGCAGGGGTGGGTTTGGTACGGCCCTCGAGGTAATTTATAAACACACGCAAAAAAGAAAAAAAATTAAAGAAATCTAGACCGCAAAAGAATTAAAACAAGCGAGTGCCGGTTTTTCCTGGCCAAGGTCAGGGTCCTTGAACATTACACAAGTCACGTGTCATCACTTGGTATATGTCTCGTTTGACAGGCGTGTAGTTCTGCTGGAGAGCACCAGCACGCCGCTCCGGCACTAAAGATAAGGAGCAGTACACATGCCACCATTTTTGCGTGGCTGTGTCTTTAGTTGAAAGCCCAGTGGCGATCTGTTCATCTGTCATACTGATCATACAGTCAATAACTTTGTTGTTATTAGCATCTGGTTAGCTAGCTATGCTAACGAATATAAGAAGCTTTTTCTACAACCAGTGAGGTAAAGGCACATCTTTATATGATCATTAGTTATACAAAAATAAGAGAATAAAGTAAACAGGTATAAAATAATATATTACAAAAAAAGTTGTTATTAATAAACAAGAATACAGTTTAAAAGGGGAGTGATTTATTAAATATCCATAAAGAAAAAGAAAATCTGTTTACGGTTCTGTTTCATATGGATGTTGAGAGATGTATCCATAGAGCTCCTAATGTTGCTTTCAAAGTGCACCAGATTAATGCTTTTGACTTCAACATTTAAAAAAATCTTCCCGGGGGGAGTATGCCCCCCAAACCCCCCTAGAGGAGGTTAGGTCCCCCACCCCCGACTTAAATCATGTTCACATGGATAGGAAACTAAATACATTTGCACACATCTTGTGTCCATATCTTTCTGTTTTGGTGGTCATGCCACAACCGTGCATGTGCATGCATGCGCGAGTCA